ATCGTTTGGTTCAAAACTATGGAAAATAACCCAAAGCAAAAATCTTTGGATTCAAGTTGAGAAAGCTGAAAATGAGAAAATTCTGAACAATCGTCCTTCATTGCCAGTTGGTACTGGAAATATTAAAGAATCAATCACAGAAGACCCGGTCGCTCAGATTTCTAAATTTACTTTTGAGGCTATGTTTAACTGTTGAATATCGGTACAATTTAGCCCTCTTCGATTTATCGAATACGATCTATCGTATTTTCATCATGTCTAAGGCGCCTGGAGGGTCAGAGTATTTGCAACTATTGAACGACGAATTGGGCAATGACATTGAGTAGCTACGTAAGGTGATTAGATGGACGCTATATTTTGTTTCAGATAGACATGCGATTTATCGCATCGATTGGTTCCATTTTTGCAGCTACTCGTCATTTTTCTCGAATTTTGAGATCCCAATTCTGTTGCCAGGAGACTACAGAATTCACTCATCAATTTTGACAAACAAATTCAACGTATTAAATGCGTGGTTTTTTTAGAGGAAAAATATCGCATGGAGGATCGAATCAAAAAGGAGATCCCAATTCTGTTGCCAGGAGACTAAAGAATTCACTTACCAATTTTGACGAACAAATTCAACGTATTAAATGCGAGTTTTTTTTTAAAGGAAAAATATCGCATTGAGGATCGAATCAAAAAGGAACGTAACGAATTTTCAATGTTGCCAGATTTTCCCGTGGAAACTTCATTTTTATCAGAAGAATTTTCTGAATTTCTAACTGAGAATTTCACTAAATTTTTTCTGAGCTCATTCAAAAACCGGATAATTTTTCGACGATAATTATGCAAGTGCAAGTGCAATGCGGTCATGGAATCACCTTAAAGCTGGCATCGCCCTTCCCCCATTGGCGGATCCAGCAGATTTGAAACATTGTTTTTCTCCATTTAAACCTATGAAAATGTATCGATTCCTAGAGGAGTCATATGCCCGACAAGAATCGATTATTTAACATAGGTTCAAATGGAAGAAATCCGGTGTTGCCAAATTGCTGAATCCGCCTCAGCCTCCCCCTCGCCTCCGTAACGCAAGATCGAGCGTCACGTTTTACGAACCCTCGAAAACTAGGAATTTCGGCAACATTGATGCGTCGCGTCGATACGGCGTTTCCGCGAGCCACCATGACAGCCCCAGATGAGCGGCTCAGCACCGACGTAGATCCTCGACTCCTCGGCCAATGGTTTATGAGAACTATAACCATCGAATGCATGACTCCCACTCGAGGTTGTGCATTTGTTAAACGCAGCCATCCACGAGTCGCCAGATCCACCCACACGGGAGGTATCCACCGCCTTCCCGAGGAAGAGCCGCCTATGAGCCTCCAGACATTGCCAAATTGCCTTTGAAAAATCACCAATTTCCGGGAAAATTTATAAGTAGTTGTCTTCGGATATTCGGAGAATTTTTCTGATAATTCGATCTTGGTGTCTGAAAATTTCAAGGAAAACTATTCATGACCTTTCGTGAAATTTTGTATTTTCTGAGGGTAAATTTGGCAATATTGGGACGCTGATAAGTTGTTTTTCCTTAGCGCGGGAGTCGAGCGGAGACGGTCGGCGGATCCGGCAGCCGGGACTCCCGTGAGCTTGCAGTGCCCGCCGTTTTACAGCTCCTTCCGAGACCTCTTCAACGGGCTTTTATTAGCCACCCGCCCCCGTGTTGTCGCGCCGAGGGTGAAAATCACTGCCGCGGCACCGAGGAAACCTCTAACTATCGGTTTTTCAGAAAAGAAGAAGAATAAACATTTTATTTTTCTTCAGCAAAAATCCTATAGATCGTCATGCCATACATCAAACATCAAGTGAGATTGTATCGATATCGATTGGTTCAAAATGTAGACATAGCCTCAGAAGTCCGATGAGTAATCTGAGGGAACGGGTTCTCTGTGATAGATTTTTGATTCTTATGAGTATAAGACGGTTGTTATAAGTGAAATTTTTCGGAATTTTTTCTTTCTCCGTTCCTCCTACTTAAATTCTGAAATTTTTGTTTGAGGTTTCAATGTCTCAGGAGCCATGTGGCCAATCAAGCTCGGTTTTTAGGGCCATTGAATACTTTTAGGAGTAAAATTTACTTTTTGCCCATATATCACGGCGCATTTAGTGAAAATTAATCCGGTGCCGTCCGTTGAAATTTCAAAAAATCACTAAACAGAAAAATTAGGATTCTTTTAAGAGGGGGTGAGACAATTTTTAGAGGCCACGTTGGCGCAGAGCCTACATGTCTCAGGCGCCATAACCGATTTCTTAGGCGCACTTGAACACTGTGAGTTTCGAACACTGGAGGTTATGTTCTATTATTTTGAACCAAACGATACATCGAAACATTATCGAATACAAATCTGTCGAATCAAGGGTATTTTTTCTTGTCAAACACTTCAGAGTACGGACCCTGGATCCAACACTAAAAAAAAATCTCGGTGGATTTACTAAGAAAAGGGTAAAATTACCAAGAATTCAGGGTTCTATTTGGTCCCAGTTTTTTCTTGGTAAAATCACCATTTATGGAACTGGTAATTTTACCGAGAGATCTCGGTAAAATCATTGAAATTTCTCGGTAATTTTACTGGACCTTGGTAAAAACGCCAATATTTTTATCGACTGTGATAGAATTCCCGAGATAAAATGGCAAAGTTACCGGGAATTGATTACCAATAAAAACGGTATTCTTACCTGAAAAAACAGTGAGAATACTGGTTTTAAGGTAAATTTACCAGTCCGCCTTAGTAAAATTACCAATAATTGGTATAGAAAAAGTGAGATGGTAAAGGTACCAACGGACCTTGGTTAAAATGCCGAGAATTTTTTTTTCAGTGAAGAGGCCTTTTTTCATGTGTTCCTTTTGCCTTTGTGAACAGTCACCCGAATGAGAATGGAAGGAGATCGGCAACGTTTCTTCGGGTGGACTTGGGCTGCCGTTGACGCCGGGGCGATCCCGTTGAAAAACGGGCGGCGTCGCGCGATGACCATCATCTTGACCAACCACCGAGTGGTACCTCGCGCGGAGAGGGCGAAGAAAAAGGGCGGTAGCGCGGTTGTAAATTATTTTCACCGCACCGCGCTCGTCGCTGTTACGGCCTCGCCGCCGACGCGAAGTTGAGACTTTCGTTTCGGAATCTTCGGGAGGATTCACGTGATTTATTCCGATACGCGCAAGTATCTTCGGCTCTTTGCCGTTCGCCAGATAAAAGTCACTGAAAAAAAAGTATTGTAACATCTAATGTATGTCTACTTGATTTTTTACTCAGTGATACTAGTAAGCGAAAATAACCAGAGTTTTAGTAGTATTTACCAGGACTACTTTACTTTTTAGGAGTATTTACTAGGGAGAAGACGCAGAGGGTGCCCAATGAAAGGTTGGAGGGAAGGGATTGAAGTGGAAATGTTAAGGTGCTCACTCCCCCAAGATTTGTGGTTTGAAAGAGAGCAGTGGAGGTTAGGAGTCGTAGAGCGCGATGAGTGCTGTAAAGCGACTTATATGTATGTATGTGCTAGGACTCTGGTGATACTTACCGAAACATGGTAAATGCTACCGTAGGGCCTGGTGTTTATTACCATACTCGGATCACTGTGTCAGAGTATGGTAAAATCTACCATATATTTTTCAGTGTGTCAAGAACTCCGCGTGGTTACGGGTAGGTTTATTTCCACGAATTCTGACGCACCAAAAGCGATGGAGAATTTGCAGGAGTCTGGAATTTTTCGAATTTTATGTTCAAGTGGACCCCGTCTAACAGGAAGGAACCAAGCCACGTCAGCTATTGTCAAATTAAACTAGGAAATTTAATATTTTACAAGAGAACATTTGAGCGAATTCTTTATGCAATTTTGAAGCAATTGCTTCGTCTTTTACAAAAAATTCACTGTTTGCACAGAAATCCGCACAAACTGTGTTTATGTAAATAGTTAAACTGCCCTATTACATGTGGCAATAGCTTATGTGGCTTGGTTCCTCTCGGCTCTTATTATTTTTAGCTAATCTACAAGAATCAAGCATCAAAACATGATGCTGTTACCAGCACAATTGACCCATTGGAAAAAGTTCTAAACATCAGCTTGCATATGAATACAGAAAAATGCAGCCATGTCGCTTACTCATTATCGCAGGAACGGAGTTGTTGCATGTGTGAGGACTTTGCGATTTGACTGTAGATTCTTATGTAAAAGCTCGCGAGGAACATGATGATGCCACTGGTTTTCTCTGAAATCAATTCTCAAGCTCATAAAAAGCTCTCAAGTTGAGGCTAAAATGGCGGGGATATCCCTCGCTATCCTGGAAGTCCACCTTTTCATCAAGACGAACTCTCTATGCAAAGATAGGGGGCAAATGCATTAGCAAGGTTGCCGCGTGTTTTCAGTTTTAGAGTCCCCAATTAATTGGCAGCCCTGTCAATGTATTTGCTCCCTATCTTTGCATGGAGAGTTCGTCTTGATGTAGAGGTGGACTCTCAGGATAGCGTGGGATATCCCTCCATATTGGCCCCAACTTTAGAGCTCTTTTTGGATAGCTTGGGAGTTGATTCCAGAGCAAACCAGTGGCACCACCGTGTTTCTCGCGAACTTTTACATAAGAATCAACAGCCAAATCGCGAATTCCTCACACATGCAACATCTCCATTGTCTGTTAGGCGGTATTGTCCTTCAGCCCTCGATACGCCTTTACGGTGGTAATTTCATTTTGAATTTATACAACTCGGAGGTTTTGGGTGCTATTTATCGGCATAGTCACCGAATTTGATTCCCCGATTTTCCGGTCGAATTGGAGTCGCTGGTTTGTTTACGCTCGGCGGCGAATTCAGTGCGGGCAGACTGCGCGGAGCGTGCCGTTCGGCGGTGGTGCCCGCGCCCGGAAACACCCGAGAAGGCCCGAGACGCCGACGCCGCGCGCCGCCGCCACCCCCAACTCCCGAGCCCCTTCGCACGCTCCGCGCCGTTTACGCTACTTCAGTTGCATGTAGACCACGCCAGGGGGCACGCGCTACGTCCCAACGAAATTACATCGCTCGCGAGTATCTCACGTTTTCGGCATACCGCCCCCTCTGATTATTTCTATCCTTAAACAGACCCACGTGTTTCGAAATCCCTGCGGCGAGGAGTAATGTGACGCGATTAGTTGGATCGGCCCGAAAAACACAACTTCAGTCGGGTTTATGGATGTTAAATGTACTTTTTTATGTCGTGATTGAAGAATCGTGTTTTGATTGATCAATTAATTATGTGACACCCATAGCGGAATTTGTTTGTGAAACGTTTGTGAGGAGTTTCTGGATTTCGGATATAATCGCAATTTTCATTCGCCAACCCTCAAGTGAAAAGCTATTGAGATTCTGAACTAGGCGGAATTTTACATCAACTTCAATTGAGTGAGAAAATAAAAAACCCTTCGGTCACGAAAAACACAAAATGAAATTTTCTCTGCAGTTTCTGCTGAACGGGTTCTCTTGAATTTTTTCGCAATTTCTTCCGCTTCGCCCGCGGGAACGGTTCTAAGCACGGTTATTTACTGTTATGTCTGTAATCTGAGGAAGTGGCATGTGCTAATACCTGGAAGAAAGTGCTGTAATATAACATGAGTTTATTCTCTTGAACACGTTTTACATGCTACGTTAAAGTTTCTGTTGGGTTGATATAATCATTCCATAATAATAATTTGTTAGGCTCTTCAATTTATATTTTTAGAATAATTTATACTTTATAAAGTTGAAATGAAATTTTCAGTTCACAATAATAATTGCCATCAAATTATCGAGATTTCATGACCAGACTAACCATCACATTGCTGTAAGTGTCGAATTAAAGTCAAGTGACAAGCCGGTAAAAATTACATTTTTTTGAAAATTTGTCTTGCTGAAAGAACAAAATTTCAGACGCAAGGCTCTGTGATGTACGCGGTTGCAAAACTCAGCGTTTCCATAGTGAATTTTACAAAACACCATAACGGATCTATTCAGAACGTGCTTTTTAAATCGGCTTCAAGTGTGTAAAATTTAGTATAATTCGATTTGGTCGCCTGGAAGTTCAACTGTGATGATCATCAGCAAGGATATAGTCAAAATGCACCTCAGCTGCGCTGTTTGGATTGCCTACATCTTCTTATTACAAGGTTAGCTTGTTTCTTCTTCTGTGTGGGCCATCTTAAAATTAAATATACGTCGGTAACGGTTAATTTCGTCGATAATGCTGTTTTGCGATTCTTGATAACGTATAATCCTCGTCTCGAAGTTGAACTCGAATATTTTCATCAGAATCGATTTTCAAATCAAAATGAGAATTTTTGTTTTTTAAATTTTTTAGGAGAGTTTTCCTAAAAACTTTCAACTTTCAGAATTATAGCCTTCTTAAGTTTGGGTCAAAACGCCGTTTTTCTTGATTGTGACGATAGTTATACATGAACGATTATGCATGAAAATTGTCGCTTTTGTGCTATTTTACACTCCGAACACATGCCTGACCTCAAAAATCGAAATTATATTTTAAGGAGAGTTTGGTCGTGGAGGTTTGTATTTTTTAAAGAGGAGATTCTTTTAGGGTTACGTTATATGAGGAAAACTATTTACCAACATCTTAATCAAAAATCCCAGGAAAGGAGGAAATCCCATCAATCCTAACCGCGCAAAGAATTGAAATTAAATTATCAACCGTATCAGTCATTGAAAAACCACTCGATTTTTTAAATAAACTGCATAATTAGCCAAGCATACAGATATAGCCAAGTTAATAAAATATAAATACAAGAAATTGATATATTTAATTATTATTTATTACTTATTTTGTCGATCCTCGCACGAAGGAACGTAACTCTATGACGAGCATGCAAATTTGAGTCGAAAAATTCAATTTTTTACAAGAGTTTACAGACCTGTGCAATTCTTTTCCAAAATTTTCCTGATTTCTGATTGAGCTCGGGAGAAAAATTGGTGACATTTTCAGGTAGAAATGCCCAAAACTCTTTTAGTACAGATGCAATTTGAACCGAAAAAAAAGTGGAGTTGATTTAATATTCTGTATGTAAAAAAATTTGTGAAAACTCACAAAATTCTTAATTACCCGCTACGGCAGTTAGTTTTACATCTTAATTGACATTGCTAAAATTACTGCTATAGGAGTTAATTCAGCATTTTGTAAGTTCTCCCACAATTTTTTTACGTGCAGAATGTTAAATCAACTTCACTTTTTTTTCAGTGTGCGAGCGGAAATTTGGCAATATTGAAATGAAGTTACGTTCTTTTGTGGAGGAACGGCGATTTTTGATCCCGAAAAATCGATTCTGAAAATATTTCGCGTTAATATTTAGGCCACATTGGATATCTTTAGAAGGCGGGTAAGGTTTTGGAAAAGCACGAGGTTTTACGTTCTTTTGTGGAGGAACGGCGATTTTTGATCCCGAAAAATCGATTCTGAAAATATTTCGCGTTAATCTTTGGGCCTCATTGTATATCTTTAGAAGGCGGGTAAGGTTTTGGAAAAGCACGAGGTTGGAGAGGAATCATGACGCACCCGAAAGTATATTCACCTTCCGACCGACGGCCGAGAATAGCTGCCCGGTGCCGGTCGTGGAGCAGGTGGAAGAGCATTCTCATTTCCCGTTGCATTACGCGCGGTCGCCGCGAACAAATGCATGTTACTTTCAAATGAGCGAATCGCCACTGTAATTGCAGTGTTGCCCATAGAATTGAACCAGCTCTTGTGTCAAAAGAGGTTTACACCGACTCACACACACAAAAAAAAAACGTAAAACGGAGAAAAGGAGAAAAGGGTTCGCTTAGATTTGGCAATTATTCATGACGAAATTGACTTAAACTACGGTGTCAGATGCTTTAAAATGTCGAAACTTCCTTGAGAGAAGCTCCCAGATCTCCTCGTTTGAAGGGATAACAACTAATATGATTTTATGAACCTAGGAAAAACGGAAAGTATCGTGGTTCACTCAGAAAGGAAATGTCGTAGTTTCCCTCATTAAAGAGCACGACTTTATTTCAATGTGGCTAAGTTTCTCCTCTTAAATTGCATTTTTACGAGGAAAAACTTGGTTTCATTATACTGAAAATCTCGCTGATTTTTCTTCTGATCTCGCGAGAATCATAAATAATTTAGACAAAAAATGCGTAGGGTACTCCATCGAAAAAAAATTAGATTGTCAGAGTAAACTTGGCAACCGTGGAACTTAGTTACGTTCTTTCGTGCGGGAAATGACGATATCCGGGAATATCAGAGAATTTTTGTCGGGATTGGCCGTGACAGTTCGGATTTTTTCATTTTTTGCCATCGGAGTAGCAACATTTTATGAGAAATAAAATCGTGAAGTTTCACGAATCGTGGATTATCACCTTACGCTAAAAATGTATTCTAATGCTGCCAAAGTTGTTCAGAGGCATTGTTTTACTTGTTTTTACTGCTCATATGTTTCCCGTGCGATCAAAATGAAGACAAATCCAGCGTTTGATAAATAAATTGGAAGTTTTTGTGCTCTTAAGTTTTTTCAGCGCGGGTTCCTTGCTCTGTCCCTGAAATGATTAAAACAATTTTTAAAAATTTAACAGCATTCTGAAATTTCATGAAATATTTAACGAAAATGCCCGATCTTTCGTCAGGTGCTATCGTTACGCATCAGAGCAAGAAAATCTCCGAGAATCGTCTAGGGAGACTGTGTGAGCATCGGTATCGAAAGCTAAGAATTTCTTCACGTTGTACTATGAGATTGTACTATCTTCAAATGCTAGTGGCTTGCGGTTATTCTGTCTCCAAATATTAGACTAGTCTGATTGAACATTTTTAATACTTTATCTTCAGCTTTGTTTAATTTTTTTTTCAAGAAAATCTCTAGAGAAATAATAGGAAACTCCGGATTTTTGCAAGGTATAGTTTCCCCCTTAAAACCAGGAAAGTATCGGAGAGTGAACAAAATTAACTATACGTATCGTTATATGATGCAGACCTGTATTTTCCAGTATATGTCAGTACATTTGAACTAAAATTGCAGCCAAAACCCGTATAATAGTTTAATAAGTAACTTATTGTTGGAGCTGTACTTAATAGTTTTTATTTATTATGTACCTTAAAAAATTAAATTTCCGTGGCTTGTGCCCCTCTTTTCATAGACTTTGATGTGCATATTTCACGATTCCGTAAATGAGCAAGTTGAAAGTGCTTTGAGCTGCCAACCTCCATTAAAATGGAACAACTTCAGCCGACATAACCAAAAGCAATTTTCGTGATTAACAGCCCTATATCCTAATAAAATGCGATGAGTTCTAAAATGCTTTTATCCGCCATAGTTAAAACTCCCACCAGACTCGTCCTTGACCCTGCCGCCTATAATAGCGCGATGGGAAAGTGATAGTAAGCTTATGAATATGAGTCACGCGCGTGAATTTAAAGTTTTCTCTTGTCCATAATTCATATCTTTCAAAATTGCCAAAATTTAATGGTGGATAAATGGGAAAGACAGAAAATTAGCGGCTACCGGGTAAAAACGGAGAATTCTTAGGAAGAAACAGAGAGTTGGACGTATTTATACGAAAGGGAACTAAGCGCCAAATTTCCAAATTTCAGTTTTTAACGGATCTGGATTCTCCATGTAATAGGCTGCTCTCACACGTAAAGATGCCCCCAAAATACTAATTTCATCCCCTGGAATCAGCCCCTGAAAAATCGCAAAACAGGGAATCAGCGATTACGAATTAAATCAAAAGGAACTATATGTAATTCCCTTTGATTTAATGCGCTAACCCGGATTCCGAATTAAATCAAAAGGCGCTATCTCCACTTGAATCACTTGATTGACGTGCGCGCGGCGAAGCTCGGTGGAAACTTGGTGAAATTTAGTACCGGGGGGTATTTTTGGACGGGAAACTCGAATTTCGGGTCAAATTTTGAAAATTCAGAAATCCAAGATGGCGGA